CGCTATATATCACGTGACATCCGGTCCACAAAACCCTTTTCTCTTCATGTCTATTCCACCCCCTCCTCAGGCCATTTGCGGTCTTATATCTGTCATACTACATCCCTCCGGAGCATACGAGCTCATTGTCACCAATCAGGCTTTCTTTTGTGTTCCCTGTTAGCAGGCGTTCACTTATGCCCCCTCTTCCCCAAATTTCAAAAAAAAGAAAACTCCTCAACCCAGGGTCGAACTCATCAAGCACATAACCTCCCACAAAATTAGCAAAAATTTCGCAGATGATTCCAAGCTTATCTCCTCTCCAAGATCCATAATTCAGCCTCGGGACTCTCAGATAATTTAGACTGATTACCTACTACAGTTGAATGCTAGAGATCGGAAGGACTAACAGGAACATCTGCTATGAAAACTCGCAAGGTTTGGTTAGAACCAAGCTGGTTGTTCAGTATCATTTCAAATTGACCATTTGCCCGAAGGCGAAAGTTACTGTTAATTAGTTGTTTATATACCTTCTTTTCTTGGCATTTAGCACTGTGTGTTTTCGCTCTTAGGGTGATTGAGTTTGAAGTGTGTATTTCGAGTCCTCAATACTTTCAACTTATCATCCCGTTCACTCTCATAATTCCTTTCTTGAAGCTATTTTCATTGCATGCAAGAGTCACCTTGTCTACATGTTCCGTCGCCACTTATCGAATCTAGGGTGGCGTGTTACAGAGGTCGATATCCCGCCCGCCAGATCACACGATCAATCATCCGTCAAAAGCTCTATGGGACTATTCCTCTCCAGTTCTGCCTTTTCCTATGCCGAGTGAGAGGTCCGGACACCACTAGAGCAGTACAGCGAACAATCACAGTCGAGAGAGATGAGATGATCGAGGTTGGCACTACAATCATTGTTTCTCAGAAGGCGGGAGTGCCTGAACATGCTATTAAGAGATTCCAGGCTACGCATCCTCTGATGATCAATTTTTGGATCTAATCCATTTCATGACCTCCGATTGTAAGCGCCCTCGGGAAGTGTGAAGGTTAGTTATGTTGTCATGCACGAAGAATGATTTCGGAACACTTTATGAAAGTTAATGTTCGGGTCGCAGGTTTCTCTAGATATATTTGTCTCCTTGACGCCTTGGATGACATATAAATTCTTGCTCTGACTACTTCCTCAACTACTACATCTGATCAGGTACAAGCTTCTTCATCACTTTCGCAACATAAACAAGCGCTTTCACCACTTTCGCAACATAAACAAGCGCTTTCACCACTACATACGAGATGTCTCTTACGATTAGTGCCGAGACACCACCAGCTCAGCTCTTCAAGTGTGTGATATAACCTACAGTTCCAGTTACGTACTGACAGCTCATCAGCCTCAAGACTGAAGATAGTCTTCGTCTTCTCTGGCGGGAGCTCACAGGTTCTGCACCAAAGACTCTGTACGAGTTCTTTCCTCGAAAAGTTGCGACTGCTTTCTTCAAGTCCTTCGACGAAGCTTTTCCGTCTCTCAAGGAGAGCAGCGTTGCAGAACAGCTCGAGCAGCGTCCCGCCACCTTCGTGATCACTGGAGGCCGCCGTGACTCTTATCGAGATGTACTTGAATGGGCTCTGTCTTGCTGTAATGGCGGCAAAATCCGTAATTTCCAGTTCATAGCCCTCCACCAATTCTACAACTATTCGATGGCATACTTGGCGGCCCGTCACCTTGGGATCGATTTCCTCGAGACACAATTGATGCAACGCCTTGTGAACATTGCTGGACGACAAGTTCACTTAGAGGACGTCGAGTTGATCTTCTCAATGATCGAAGGACCTCATGAGCTCAAAGATATGGTATGTCAGAGCATTGGTACAGCAATCTGGGAGAGACGACTTCATCACCGTGGCTTCTACGACAAGCTGCGTCGTACCGAAGGCTTCGAGGAGTTTGAACAGGGTCTTAGCGAGGTTATCGAGGGGTTGAAGGCAGCGAAGAAGTCATCTCCGGAACATATGGCGATTATTGCAGAGAAGAAGGAACAAGCAAAGAGGATGAAGTGGCGTCTTGAAGAACAGGAGAAGCGGCAGACAGCTCGAGACGTTGCCAACAAGTACAAAGTCAAGCCTTCTGCTGTGACGGTTCGCGGTACGCAGGGCTACACTATCAGCACGGAGGGCCGGGTTGCCAATCGAAGCAATAACGCCTGCCAGCGGCGGGTGGCTGTACCTCACACCAATCGTGAAATCACTTCCGAGAGCTTCCGTGCACCGTTGCCTGATTTTGGATCGGCTGCTCCAGGTCCTACTCCGAAATCTACCTCGAAGTCCCAAAGCAGCAAGAAGACGAAATCTAAAGAGACTGTGTCGATGCAGGCCAATAGCGATCAGGCCAACTCTTCAACGGCAGCACCTTCATAGTCAGCTTGCGGAAAGGACTAATCTAAGATTTGGTTCTGAGACAACAAAGTCTCAGTGGCCGACTACTACGATGTGGAGGCAGGCTCATGCTGAGTTCGAAAGCGGATGAACGTGGTGACTTGGATACCTGCGGAATTCGAGTTCTGGTGGTGAACGGCTTTGCAATCGGCCCCTTTAGTTCCGAATTCTTTTAAGCCCTAGTTCTGTTCCGGTCATGTAACATTTCCCTTCATTCTTTGGAGGATTTCAGCCGGGGCACTTCTCTGCTACTTCTGTCTTGATTCTCTGTCTTCATGCAGGCCCATTCCGCCCACAGCTCTCTCGGTCACAACTAGGAAGTTTCCACCAACAATAATCCCACCTCCACAGTCTCAATGTATCTTTCCAGACACAACAGTCATCATAGAAGCTAATGAGTGCAAAAAGGCACTTTTTTACCGGTGGATTCTTTGTTCACAAGCGTGTTCTATCAACTTCCAGACTTGATTTTCATGCTTGCTACTCACGTACATTACCATCGTATCACGAGCAAACCACTTCCGAACACTTTCGATGGTTACAAATGGTGCTTATTGGTTCACAGAGACTTTTCCTACGAGCACTTGCAGGTTGATGCGGTGCTTGCTGTCCAACTACAAATATCTGCATTCTCACCCTGCCTGCCGTCACTATGTTCTTTCTATCAAGAGAACTCACCTGGCCAGTGGTACACGAAATCATACTCACCTCCGTCTATATCTATCTTCAATTCTACAGGCCCTTCAAGGCTGACCGCTGTAACACCAACCAACCATTAGCAACTCTCAAAACTTCTTCGGTTGAGGCTTGTAGCATTCCACAAGGTATTCGCTACGGAGACAATGGCTGCCATTCAAAAGATGTCGGCAGCAAAGCTGGCGAGGTAAGCAAAGCCCTTGCTCCTTTATTGCACCCAGTACCGAGGCCTAGCTTACCCGTTGTAGCCTGAAGCATGGCCCAACGATCAACATCCTGTTTCGAGAGAACGATACTACCGACCTGGCGATGTTGCGCGAAGGGTTTCCCAAGCAGGTTGCTACTACCTTCTCTGCTCTGTGCCGGCAGACCTTTCCAGCACTTGCAGGAACATCTATGGCAGATATTTCCAAGTCTCCAGCCAACTCAGTCACAATCATCGGTGGTCGTGTTGATGCTCACAAGGCTGTACTTTCATGGATGCTGGCATGTTGTGAAGGCAGAGGCATGCGGCCGTTTCCATACATCCACCGTCGTCGATTCTGGCATTATGCTCATGCTCTGGAGTCTGCGGAGATACTGCAAATTGACATTCTCTGCGAGGAGCTCTGGGGACGTATGAAGGACATTGCAAAGTTGCAGGTGCATACAGAGGACATCCATGCTGTATACTCGACAACAGAGAAGGGATATCCGATCAGAGGTATGATAGCTGAGAGCATCGGCAGAGCTCTCCTTGAACGTCGTCTTGCTGCTAGACCCGCATACAACATGCTACGTCAAGATCCACAGCTCAAAGACTTCGACGAGGATGTCAACCAGGCCATTGCGCGCTTGAAGAAAGAGTATGCCGAAAGCGAGCAAGGCAGAGCAGCGCGTGCCGAACACCAGGCTGCGAGAAAGGCGGCAAAGGAAGCCGCCCAACAACGCTTCCAACGACGTCGGAACAATCCCCAAAAGATGACCACCGCCGAGGTGGCTCAGCACCTCGATGTTCCCACCGAATCTGTCAAGTCTGAGGACGACGGTACCTTCAAGGTCACTGTATCAACTGAGATCATTCGCAAGGGCCGAAATGGACGTGGTCAATATGTTGCTCTCCCTCTCCGTCAGGCTGGTGTCACAGCCGAAGCATATCGACCTGCTGTCTCCGAAGCTGCGCCGCCTATTGCAAAGCGTGCTACGGCGGAGAAGCCTACTGAACGACGGATGCATGGTCACAAAGCTGTTCCCAACACCACCAATTCTCAAACCTAGCGAAGACAAGACCGCTGGGGAGCGGAAGACGGTTGGACAGACCACATCAGCTATGCCTGATATCGCACAATCGCAGTAAGGCGCCAATGAGCCGGAACATGCGAAGCGGCAGGCTAACCAGCAAAGTACTGATGGAAGATTGGAGAACTCTGTAGTTGAGAAACCCACCAATGAAGGTGAGAAAGTGACGGTTGGACGAAAGTGAGATACAGATGAGGTTAGCGGATGGGCTCGAACATGATAGGCCTGGCTTGGATATTGTGTGAGATGAACGACTTGACATCTGCTGAGCAATTCTATCGGGCTAGTGGAGTGGTTGTTTTTTCGCTTCTGACTACATCCATTTGTTCATCCGCTTCATACACCTCTTGGTCCTTCGGCGCTTCCATCAGTGTTTGTCTACAGACGATTGGCACAGGTTGCAACAGTGGTGGGATATGATACAAGAATCGTCACAGTAATTTAACAGGCTTTTGATACTAATGGATAATGGTTCATCCCGAATGAAGAAAGGTCTGGCATACTAGTACTCGACTTGGTATATAGTACGTAAGCCGTTCTGCGATGGACGAGAATTCCGAGCTATACCGGATTCGAGTAAGCATTCCCCACATCCATGGTTACTTTATCGAATCCCATGTTGCGGCAGCCTGAGCACTACCAATTTTGAGTATTTTGTATCGAAGTGTCTAACAAGTTCCATTGCGCCGTAGCCCTGCCGAACCGCCTCGAGATCCATTGTCCAAGGACCTGCTAGGAAATTGAATGGTGGAGACCGGCTCGGTTTAATCACGTTGCAGAAGCCAAATATGCCAAGGGCTCTTGTGTGTGGCTTCACCTCACGGTGCGAAACTTTTATATGCTGGAGACAGCTCGTTGTCTGTTGCTGCTTGCTGGTAGTCGACAGCAGGATAGGAATCGCGCTGTGAGTCCTCTCTTCTCAGCCGAGGAAAGATGGTCATGCCAATCCTGATTACTCATGGCCACATCAGATATGTAGTATACGCCTGCCTTTGTCCGCGGACGAAATTTCCATGGCCCCACTAAATAAGGGAGAAGCGTTGGAACAGTTATACGAGCGATCAGCAATGCAGAAACCTATCTTATCTTGTGTAGAGGGGGAAAGATCGGGCTGGTTATCTGAGTTCATCAATTGAGGCCCTTATGGGATAAACGTTCCGGAAAGAATGTGTGGCGTGCGTATGCATTGAGTTGAACCAGGGAAAAGGAGATCTCGACCCTAGAAGAAGGCTCTCTGATGCCATGGCGCTAAAGGAAAGTCCTCTGCCAGTGCTAACTTGTAGTCCGACGCCTCCGGCCGCTCGATTGGCTTAGCCGTCAACTTCCCCCTTTCTTGAGTCAATTTGGAGACCCTTCTTCAGACGAGTTCATCAACAGCACTCCGCGAAGATATGAAGAATTTCGTGCTCCTACGCGCCCTTCTGAGCCCTTGGTAACTGTTTGGACTTCTGTTAGGGAGGCGTGCGGACATCTTCATTGCAGAAGGTGGTCCTTCCGGGGCCACTGATGCTGGGCTGCGAAAATGGCCTATCGTAATGTCTAAGCTCCTTGCGGCTCACAGCATTACTACTATTTCAAAGTCGCCAAGGATAACTCATTACGGTATCGCAGTCACTTCCCAGGACCAACCATCACAAGCCGACCTAACAGATCTATCACTTCATCATCCTTATATCCTTGTCCCTCAACTCTTGCTTAATTGCTTTCAACCAGAATCTGGCTTCTGGCTTTTTACTATTGTTTTCGTGGGTTAGAGCAATCTAGTTTTGATTTCTTTGATATCTTTCTTGCTCGGTCCCATCATAATCTGCTTCTGGCGTTATCGCTCTGTAGCATTCTTCTCAAAGCTGATTTTGCTCTCCTACATTGATATTTCCTACCTCACTCGACACTCTCTGGAGTCTAATTCAACCTGCGTCAACTCCGCCTTACATTCACGATCTTTTCGATCCGGCTACCTTCATCAACACACGTCGCACATCATGCAAGCCGAAGTCGAAAACAAAATTGGAATGATTCCCTCCAAAATACCAACAATAATGAATTTAGATTACAAGCTAATGTCGCTGCAATGTTTCCCAATGGTAGGATCGAGGATCTGACTCTAGGTTTGCCAAACATCAAGCAAGTGAAAGCGGCATCAAGAAAAGACTTACCGCCTGTGATGTGGCGAGTGTACTCCAGAGCCTCCGCGGGTGACAACTCCGAGGCTGCATTCCTCGCACACGCATTGAGCGAGAGGGTGGCTCACAAATACGGGCTCAAAGCCGGAAGCCGCTCCCGTCGTGTTGAAGACGTGGACCAAACGGAAATGCGAGGTATGCTGAGCAACCATCTTGGATGGCACAAGAAGAACGGCGGCTTTGAAAGCCGTTTCATTTCTGTTACCTCTTCTCCCTTGTTCGCTCTTCAATTGGCTATCCAAAAACATGCTCGGATGAAACGCGAGGAAAGGCTAGCGAAGCGCGCTGCTGAAGAAGCGGCTAGAAAGAAGATGAAAAGGGCCGACAAAAAATCCGAACTTGATGAGGAGCAAGACGATGAGGACTCTGACATCGAAATCCCCAAGAAGAAGGCCAGGGTCAATGTTCCTGAGGGTGACATATTCATATCCATCATTGACACTTCGACGTTGCCGAAAGGGACAACTATATACAAAGCTAATGTGATGCTCGCCGCATACGAAAATGGCAAGCCCTTGACCCAGAACCCAGAATTCTTCGTGGCGGAGTACCTGGTCTGGGAAACTCTGAAGGTCGATTCATGCCACGTCTCATTTGATACGCTCCTGAACAAAGGATTCTTGACACTTTTTGATGATTTCAAGCAGAGCCCAAACAACTTGCAAACGCAGGTCCAAAATCTCCGGAGCAGTCTCTTTGACTGGGGGCCTTTGCAAGATAAGAAGCGAACAGCTATTCCACACAGGAGATTCAGCGCTGCAATGAGACTTGCTGCTTCGTTTGCCGATAAATGGCAGTTACCGATGTTCGTTGCATTCCTTTCGCTCTTACGGAGATGGCACACCGACGACTCCATTATCCTGAGAGCTGTGCAAGCAATCGAAGGTAAATTCGGGCTGCCTCAATTTGATTACGTGGCTGACCTTGATCAGATGGCTTCATTGGTCTGCCCGACCGGTTAGATCTACCTCAGAAACGTCCGTCACGCAACTCTGGCGTACCCGAGATAGCAGGTTATGAGCAACTTATGTGGACTCTATGCCAGTACCTCAAAGGAGAGAAAGGCGTTCAAGGTGAAGATGAACCTTCTAAGGGTCTCCCGGTTGGTAACCTAATGGCTCGCGGCAAGGGGATGAGGGGGACGCTGCCATACTTTGTTGGTAAGTTACCCACCAATTTTATAGGACAGGGTGGTGAAATTGAATTTCCTAGCTCCGATTCTTAAGAAGAGACCACCCAGGTTTAAACTCGAGCCCAAACTCAAGGTCAAGCAAGAAGTCAAGGTGGAAAACAATGTTGACGCCGGAGCCAAGGAAGAGGCGCAGAATACCTCCTCCAGCTCTATCCCTACTGATATGCCAGACCCTTCGAAAAAACGCAAGTCGCCAGAAGCGAACGACCAAGAGAAGCAAGCTGGAGGCTCGCCGCAAGAAGTGGATCAGGTGCCCGTCCTAAAGAAGGTGAAGACGACGAACGATGCCTCAAACACTCAGCCTCTAGCTGAACCTGCTTCTGCTGGTTCAGACGCAACTCAGCTAGCGCCTCTATACAATGAAAGTATGGGAGAGGTTGCTGCTGGTGATGCAGGCGGACTTGCACCAGACCAAATGATTGATCAAACAGCGGCCGAAAACGAGAACCATGTGAGCTTTGAGGACTGCAGGGGGAACAATGAGACTGGTACCAGTGAATGGGAAGGCTTTGATAGCGATGATGACGTTGAAGGTGGTAATCAACTTAGCGAAGCAGAAGATAATGCTGCATTAGGAGAAGGCTTCGCCGTGGGTTATGATATCCAGCCTGCGAACGAAGGCAAGCTGGGGACAGAGAAGGAGGACGGCAAAGAAGACAAGACTGACCAGAAGCAATCAGATGCGGATCATGTCTGATACATGGCAAGGGATTTCAGGCCGTACAGTCTCTGAATCATAACATGTCCGTACCCAACGGCCGCGGAGGACACTTTTTTGCTACGTGCTCCAGATCTCTATTCGACTTCCTGGCGCAGAAGGACCAAGCACACTCCAAAGTTGTTGCTTTGATCTATCATCTTACAATCATGTTGCTAGCTAGAAACCATAGTTTTCTTTGCCCTGGACTGGGAATACACACAAGCTCTCTTGCGCCATTATTGCAATGCTCCGATCCACAACCCCGTGCAAATTCTGATGTCTTTATTGTGCTGTAGCAGAATTGCGAACCAAAGGCGCGAATAACGTCTCGTGAGCTGAAGCTGCGAAGGTCGTGCCATTGCACCCGCAATCTTGGGTACTCATCAGGGGTGCGGCCATGCTGGAAGATGGGAACCTGCCCCTTCTCATCGGTCTTGGCGGTTTACTGCCGAATACCAGAGTCCAGAATAAATATGTCACCTTAGGTCACAACCCAAGTCATTTGGGCGGGCCTCGGCCATCAACGAGACAGAACAGCTCAGAGTGGCAAGTCTGCTTCTTGAAAATATCCAGTGGAATATAGTTTTCTGTTTGGGTGCGCAAATCTTTGATTGATTGTGTGGAGAGAGCGGCCTGAGTCCGGTCTGGTATGTTCTGAGACGGAGCATCGAATACACGCTCGAGGGTTTGGAACAACTGAGCATGCTTGCAGCTTTTGGCCAAGATGGTGGTTTGAGATAAGTTGGTCATGATCTGCATTCGTGATTAGTTAGTCCACAGTGAAGCTTCGTCTGGCGAAATGGTTCGAGTTTCTCCTACCACGTTCAGAATGACAGCTCCTGCACTTGACTTGTAAAAAACTCAATGTACTTCTGGATGTACTGTGATGGATGATGTTCTGTGCTGCGAATGGTCCCCTTGAGCCAAAAGCTGGATTCTGTCCATTCTGTCCATTCTCTCACTCCTACTTAGGGAAGAGTCGCGTTTTGTATCTGGCAGATCTAACATCATATTCTTCTTGGGCGTGACGAATGTGCAAGAATGTCCCATTGACACAATTTCAATTTCTTGGATCTTGGATCTCGCAGAACCCCAGTCAGGATAGCTGGTGGGCATGGATGAGGGCGAAGATGAAAGATTTTTGACACATTTGGGCCAAGATGCTCTAAAAGCGGGATCGCACGACAGGTACAAACCTTAACTAGCAGCCACCAGTTTAGCGCTGCCAGTGTGGAGATCAACCGGCTGGAGGGGAATTTCTGCCTATCACGATCCCACCACTGTGCAGCCAGACGACAGTGCTCGAGACATCCAGCGCGTACACTATTCCTTCATGTTCGTGGTTCCACCCACAGCCTTGATGCTTATGAGCCGGCAGCTGATCGACTACGCGGCCCTTGCAGGAAGCTCTCTTCCGACACCTACTAACCGTCATTGAAAACGATAGCAAGATGGGGATGTGTGGTTCTGGCTTGGTGTGACATGGTGCCGGACGAGTCGCAAACCTCGGTTGATTGAATCAGCCGTTTCTCGAACAAACCGCTAACCAACTGCCTGCATCAACCTGAATTCCTGATCTGCTATTGGTGAAAACGGGGAACTTTTGCTCGGGTAGCTGCCGGCGGGGGAGCCCGTTGTTGACCACCGAGCTAAATTGCACCGGCAATGCATGCACTTTGGGTCGATAGTGAGACCCTGATAGGCGCATTGGCACGATTCCTTCGTGCAACCTCGTTGTTGGTTGGGCCCAATCAATGCCACCGGAGGCTGATGTCCCGCTTAACGCATCTGCCCCAGGCACATCACCACCAGTAAGCACAGGCACATCACCACCAGCAAGCAGGCGGGGAAGGTAGGCAAGGTTATCGCTTCCTGCTCCTCTTCGATGTTCTTCACACCTCAATGCAATCTACAACCCTTCAATCCTCCCAGCCGTGACATGCTCTCGGACGATAAGACTCATTCATCCTGAAAGCCTTGCCCATCGACAGTCTCGAGACTACGCCTTGCGCTACCATTTTGGAATTCCCCTACTCCATCAATGACATCGCCTGTGTTGCTGTCATTCAACAGCCATACGAATCAGTTTGCTGGGTGACAATGCCTTTCTCTTGGGATCAGATGATCCCTGGGCACCAACAAACCTTCAAAGAGAAAACTATCGCACTCTACATTGACGAAAACCGCCGTCTTGATGGCGCAGGTGGTGTACGAGAGTATATGAAAGAGCATTACAACTTCGACAAAAGGTCAGTATTTGCTTCCCGCCTTGTCAAAGGTAGCTAAATCGAGCCCAGTGTCTCTACCTACCGTCGCGAATTTGTTAAATGGGGAATCAAGAAGAACGATTACCCTGGCACCACAAATCGATCCTCCCAAAATTCATTCGACTCAGGCTATGGAACAGGTTCTAATCGAACTTCCTCTGCGGCCACGTCTCTATTTGAGAGAGCCTCATCCTTCCGGAGACAATCCGAACAATCACTTCTGAGACTCAGTTTTCCAAATCTGTTTTCGCAAACTACCCAACCACCCCCACGTCCGCAGTCATCACAACTTCTTGCTGATATTCCGGAAACTGGCGTTACAGGTGGTTCCTCCAATCATGAAGATAGCACCAACCGATACACAGGAGGCATTCACACGTCCGACTCCTACATAGCAGACCGTATATCACATACAAAGGGCCTCACCCACCCCTCTTTACAAGAACACCTCAATTACCCACACTATCAACCCCCCCATGCCCCTCCTTCACATTGTAGCCGAGCAGGAACGAGTTCCGAGTTTTCGGATTTGGGTCTCGAGACATGCCAACAATGTGGCGCTACGAAATTACATCACCTTGCCTCCATCAGCCGTCGGACAGATGTTGTTCTCTTCAAAGAGGTCGTCAGGTCCAACCTTGATTCCATAAACGAGACAGACAATGAAGGCAATCTATGTGTGCATTTCGCTGCTGGAGCAGGTGCAAGTTTGGATCAATTGGCCATCCTGAAGGCTGCCAATGCCGACGTAAATCGTCCAAATTATTGTGGCCAAACTATACTCCATCTGTTGGATCCTCAACTTTACGATTGCTCGATACATGCCTTCGTCACTTTTGCTCTGCAATATGGTTTGAGCTTTTCACAACGTGACAATGACGGGAAAACGCCCCTTCACCACATCTTCAGCCGCCTCGTAACTTTGGCAAATGTTTATGATCTATTGCCCCTCATAGATTCTGCTGGCCGATCGATGACACTTTTAGATCGGAACGGCAACACTCCATTAGACATCCTGGGACGGAATTGGGAGAAAGTCAATCAAGGGGTACACCTTGCAGAACTGGAGGCCAAGCTTATTTCTTACAACATCCCACCGGCCTTTCGACAATCACCAAATAGTGGCACCAGATCTCCGGCGGTGCTGCCCAGTATGAGCAAGCTTTCTATCACTAGCCATGATGAGGATACTACGGATGTCCTTAACATCATCAAGCGATCCAGACATGAGCCATTTTGTCAGAATAATTCAAACCAGAACGTTCTTCATGCTTTAGCAGCATTCTCGTTCCATGCAAACCACCAGATAAGTTGCTACATGACACCATGTAGACTTTGGGAATGCTTGCAACATCGGCTCGAAAACATTACGAATGTTGGCGTGGACGTCAATCAGTACAGTTCCGACGGTTTCACACCCTTGCATAGTTTCCTTACCGCCACATTCGATATCAGTCTAGATATTCCATGGCTTGTACCTGAGTGCGTCGAACTGTTGCTTCAACATGGGGCTGATCCTAGACTTCGTGACCGGGATGGCAATACGGCCTTACATCTCGCCTGTAGCCGTGGTCGCTTCGAATGTGCCGGAAAGATCATCTCGCATCTGTCGAATCACTATCCAAAACAACAACACAATCAATGCCTCGTTGCCATAAACGACAATGGCAAGACCGTTGTAGAGCATACCGAAGCCTCCATGAACAGCGAGACCATGGAAGCCAATCAGCGTCGCAGGAATTGCATTGGGCTTGTCCGTGCATTTCTGGGTGAACCAATTGTTTCTTACATGCCTGCTGCATATTCGTCTATGGCGACTTTCTCGTCTACATTAGGTTCACCAGCAACGATATGGTCGGCTCAGCTGCCTAACCATCGTCGTAAGCGTTCAGACTCACCGGCTCGACCAACCTCGGGACATCGAAGAATATTGGGCTGGCCTTCCAGAACATCATCTTCCTTGGAAGAACCCCAGCCTGAAATGAGATCTGCTTTCGATTTCGAGGACTAATCATCTCTACTCCAACCATGGCGAAGTGGTCCATCCAAACACCCAATCTCGAAAACCGCACAAAATCCAAAAGCCAAACAAACATATATCATAATAATTCCGCATTTTTTCCACACCAGCTCCCTTAGTTCCAGTTGGATCAAAATTACCCAATTCTCGGCCGGAGTAAAAGGCGTTTGAATGACGGGGCGAAAACCGAATCGCACCAAGGAGTTCAAACCTCCGCTAATGCCACCAATCGCAAGCATTATTACTCCTCCCTCCTCCAATCTGACATAACAACAAAACAACGACGGTACGACAAAAGTAGAATCTGCTCTGGTCAAAACTACCATCGGGGTAGTGGGCGGTCGATTCTCCTTTTTGCCTGTACTTTTACTTTCTCCCCGGGCCCTGGATCTATTGGGGGAAATATCGGAGTCTTGCTTTTGGTGTAGGGGGTTTGTTTTGGGATGATTCGATGCCAACTGCTTCTTCTTCAAGAGACTCTGAGCTCTCTGTATCACGACCATCTGCTTTTTACTTTTTCGCAGTCTTGATTTTGAGATACCCCATACTTCCTTTACTTTACGGAAAAGTTGTCCTTTTTTTGGGCTTTCAATGATATTTCCCCACTCACACGATATGTTACTGGCACCGGCACTGGCGTTTCTCACCACCACATAAAAATCGGAAGGGGGTTTCGCCTACCGTTCACCAAAAGAACAGAAAAAAAGGCTTTGGACACAGAGTATGCCCGGTCAAGCGAGGAGTTTCTGGGTTTTGGTTTTCTTGTTATGGTTTATAATTGTATGTGGGGAACACGAAAACGCGAAAACGCATGTAATGCTACTGCCAACCAGATGGATGTATAGATGGATAGATAAATTTGTATAGACCCATGAACAGATGAATAGACGGATAAACGGGTAATGGATGGGATAGATACCTGGCCTGCTTGTGGGTCGAGATAGATAGAAGTCTGCAGATATGCCTGACGCTGGCTGGCTGGCCGGCTGACTGAGAGGTCGGTTTGGATATCAACAGAGATAATGAACGTACCACGAGTCTGGCACTCTGGACATCGATACCGACACCAACACCGACACCTTTCTAACTTACTTGCTTGGTTATTGATTGATTCGTTGGTCAGGGATTACATGCTTTACCTGTGCTGTGCCTTGATGTGACTTGACCTGACTGAACTTGAATGTTTGATAAAAGGAAGAGGAACTGAGGCTAGCCAGCTGGCGAAAGAATGGATTGCTGGATATAGATATGGATACGGATATAGATCCGAACAGGTTTATCTACTACTCTAATCCGCAAAGGGGCGGTGTGGGTAATGATGGCCTTGTCTCTCTGTCTGTTTGTCCTGGAAATACCCGCTCAAGCCGCGGACGGAGTACCTTCGTCTGCCATGATTATCTCCCATTCCCGACGCCGACACCGATGCGGCTGCGGCATGATCTGCCATTCTCGGTGCCATGTGGCATGTCCGCACTTCATCCGTGCTTCCTCGAGCCGTCCGTGTGTATCTGTACCTTTCCAAGGCGACGTCCTGCTAGCCTCGGAGGACTTCAACTTCTCGCACCGCCCGTTCTTTATAATGTATGAAAGAGTCCTATCTGGGTCATTGTCTACCCTACCTAAGCCTCAGTGGCCTTTCTGCTCGACTCTGCATCCTTCTCTTCACCACCTATTGTCATTTGAAGCCTCGTTAATGCACACTCCCCACCACAACCCACAGCGTAACAACCTTCCTCCTCCTGACCGTCCCGTCCTCTTTCCTTCCCAAGCTCAACGCCAACTTTCGGCAAACCTATCTTCCACCTCGTCTTTTGCAAAGCTCGACTTGGAAGAATCAGTTTCGTCTCGGCACTTCTGCTCGTGAGGAAGGATGAGAGCTCTTCCATGAAAGGTGGGCTATTTGTCGACTGAGGTAGCGTACTTTGAGTTTGTGGCAGTGTTTTCGACTCTTGGACATCGTTCAAACATTTTTGTCGGGGCTGTCCGCTGCTGAAGGGAGGTTCTGGGTTGGAAGACTTGATTGGTATGGTGGTTGGGAAGTAAAGTGTCGGTACACGTACTTCGGATGAAGTGGCATGGTGGTGAAGGCCGTAGGGAATCGTGAAGGTTATGGAAGATGCGATGGGCGATTGGGAAGGTAGTGAAGAGGTGTAGACATTGTTTGAGCTGTTGTGCCTCTCTCGCTGCGCCGAAGCTCTAGGTGTGATGTCTCCGTCAAGTGAGACATTCGGTGGTGTAGGGGGGTGGCTTGACGTGTAATCGTCATGCGATATTGGCGGTTCAAGAAGAGTCATATAAGGTATTGGTTTGCTAAACGAGGAGTATGATGGAAAGGACATTCGCCGTGAGAGGATGGAGCGGCTGGGAGGTTTGACGTGAGGGTTCACGTTAGATGGAAGAAGTGACATCCATGCCGGGAGGGGACGGGACGGTTGACCTTTATGAAAAGGAAGTTGCGAGATCGGGCTCTGCTTTTCTTCGATCCGGGTTGGAATTGTATTGCGCCTATTACCTATCTCCACAGCTGGCTGTCGGATCTTACAAAGCCTCTCATTTGCAGCTGCCTTTTGCGATGCCTCGGGGTCTTCCCTCAAGACCAAGGCATGCTGTTCAAGTTTGGCAATGGAGTCGGGCGAGTCTATGCAGCGGTCGCAGACGGGTGGCTCTGTAAGCATGATGCCTTTCTCGTGCGGTAGATCCATGGAGTCGAGATAATTCGGAGGCCGTAAGGGAAACTAGCCTGTCAACCTCCATCCAGTGTCGAGAAGCGGGCCAACCAACACTGCACACAAGACATGAGAAACAAGCCCAATGCCACCAACACCAGCCAAAACCAACAGCATCTGTCTTTCGATATACCACTTCTCCGCACGACCAGCATATACTAACATTCCACATCCATCGCCAGCATTCTCTACAAACCGGCCGCAGTCTCCTTCCAACCAAAAAGCACGGTGAGGGGAAAGTTCTTCCACAGCCGGTGCACCTAAAGTCAGACCAAGTGGGCTTGGTTTGTCCGCGCAAAACGAGCGGAGTGGGAATGAGGCTGGGCGAGGACACAGAACGTGCGCGCGAATGGGCCTGTGCTGATTCATGGCTGGAGTGATTGATGAAGGAGAGCTGTGATTCGGGGGAAGAGCCAGCCATGTCATACTATCTGAAAAATGTTGCGACGAATGATAGGTGACGAGAGAGAGACAGAAGTGAAGTGGACGTGAGAATGAAGAGACGCAGATAGGCAAGATGAGAAGAGACGAGACGAGATGAGAATATGGCATTCACTATACCATCGCAACTTCCCCAGACGGCATGCATTATTTCCACCTCCTTCATGACGGTCAAAGTATGACTAGAAGCCCCAATATCCTTTCACCAGATAGACAGCATATGCAGACATGCCACCCAAGAATCCTGCCGTTCCCGCATGTCCAATCAACCTTCCAGGGCCATCGGCGTGAGCACCTCGCATGCCGAACTCCACATGTAAGATTCTGAAGAGGAGTAAAGCTGCAAGCCCACCATTGAGTATCTTCCGGTTGCCACCGTTGAGCTCGACGATTGCAGCGGCTAAGAGAGCCATGGGGACGTTTTCTACGAAATTGGCGTGACTTCGAATAGCCACCTCGAGCGGGTCAGGCTTATTGCCTGCAGCTTCGGCCTCGGAGGTCTTGTTGCCCACATATTTCTTGCTATCAATCCTTAACAGTGACACTCGGACGCTGAGGAGATAGAGATAAGCAGTCAACGGTAAGGTCCAGGTGCCAGTTATAGCTATCCAGAGCTGTTAGTCAAGAACTAACTAACTAGCAAAGAGGCGTCCGAGGAACTCACGGAGCATTTTCGGCACGGTGATGCCCACAGGAGTCGACATGATGGAGCTGTGTTCAAGAATTACAGGGACTGGATAGTTGGGCGGACTGTAATGAGTGAGACGAGAATGATTAACTGATCACTGGAGTACCATCTGAATGAAGACTTCCACCTCAGGCAGCACTGCAGGAGGACGCGGCAGATGCAGGGTGGAGATGCCAAGACGTCAGAAATGTTACTCCTCTCTGGGTGTACCTGCCTTGAAGAAGGGCTTTAATTAACATCATTTAGAGGATCATCAAATAACCGTCTTATCGTATGACAATAATTTGAAAGAAGACGTCTGAAATAACAGAATTCAATCAGATTTGAAACGTCTTAGCCACATACTTTTACAAAAGCTACATCATAGTATGGTCAGCCTTAAACTAAGCACACATTAATGGGTGACTTACGACAAGGGTGAGGGCGTTGGCCTTCGTGGATAAACGCCGGATCACAAGATTTTGTTCATTCTACAATATCTACTCCGTAGTGTCAAAGCAAGAAATTTCAATTTCAACTCTCGGAATGTTTTACCCTATGAT